AGGAGCCCCTAGTAGCGTCCTTGCTCCTAGTAGCTTCTTGCTCCTAGAAGTAAGCCCAGCATCCTTGCTCCTAGTAGCTTCTTGCTCCTAGCAGTATGGCCAGGAGCCCTGAGTAGCGTCCTTGCTCCTAGTAGCTTCTTGCAACTAGTTGTAAGGCCAGGAGCCTCTAGTAGCGTCCTTGCTCCTAGGGGCTTCTCGCTCCTAGTAGTAAGGCCAGGAGCCCCTAGTAGCGTCCTCGCTCCTAGTAGCTTCTTGCTCCTAGTAGTAAGGCCAGGAGACCCTAGTAGCGTCTTTGCTCCTAGTAGCTTCTTGCTCCTAGTAGTAAGGCCAGGAGCCCCTAGTAGCGTCCTTGCTCTTAGTAGCTTCTTGCTCCTAGTAGTAAGGCCAGGAGCCCCGGTAGCATCCTTGTTCCTAGTAGCTTCTTGCTCCGAGTAGTATGGCCAGGAGCCCCTAGTAGTGACCTTGCTCCTAGTAGCGATGCCCTTTGCTCCTAACACGCAAGTGGCGACACCATGTCTTCAACAAAAAATCAAAATCGATTAACCCGCTTAGGATCCAGCAAGGAGGTGATCAAGCCGAGCAGACCAAGGACAAGCATCATCCTGGGCTGATACAGCTGTCATTGAACTATGCGACAGAGAATGGAGCGTATGCAGTATGCAATATGCTGTTTGCTTTTGGAAATTATCTGCTTCAGGAGTACCCACTCCAGGCAGGGCATTGCGTGATTGCCTCGGGTCCGGAACAATCTAACTGGGACACTTCAAGGGCGACACAAAGCACATCAAGCACGATCACTAAGAGCTGAGAAGGCGGCAGTAAAGACAGGGACCGTAATCATGCCGAAAAGACCACCCCAAAACACAACTGCCTGGAGAGCACTATCATGCACCATTGATTTCTATATCAGCCTTGTCTATAAACATCACCCGCCTGGCCGTTGGGAACTTCATCATCCTCTCAAGTCTGTGAAACACAAAAAGCAACAGCAACTAGTCTCTGCGCACAGGACCGCACCTGTGCGGAAGAAGGGTCTCGGTCAAAGGGTTTGTCTTCCATTTGAAGATACTCATAGCCTGCCAAAGCATATGTCAACAAAGGCAACCGACACTGGAAGAGCACTCTCAGAAGCTGCCTAGTGTGCCCACCAAACACAGCACACTTGGGACAAACAAGTTGGTCAGGAGAGGCACGGTTGTGACCTAACAAAACAATCAAATAGAAAATGCAAGCACCTGTGACACAATGTGTTCGCTGCGGCCTGTCCACCGATGTAAAGCATGGTGGTGGTAATATCTCCGATCGGCGTCCTGAAGCCGTGCAACAAAACTCCCTCCATGAAGCAGGTCTCTTGTGCAGGAAAATCGTTTTCCACAGTTCGGATGAATCGCTGAAATGACAACGTTCCGATGAGGAAGTAAAAGTTTGGTACATTATCATATTGTTGACAGCGCTAGAGCAACAGGAAAGCGTTAGCCGCTCCAGGCTCCACCGGCGTTGGAGGCGACCACCACAAGGCCACCCAACTTCATGCGGAAATCTTCGTCCTTTCAAGGAAAAGGCACCAGCAAACTTGCTCATCTAAACAAACCAAACCCACCCACCTTCACCAGCTTCTGGAGCAAAGAGATCTGGCATCAATCAACCAAGTCACTTGAGTTCTTACCAAGTTGTCACTTGCTTCACCGCGACAAACAGCTATATTGCAACCACAGTGAAACACATGTAGGCTGACCATGACAATGACAACTGTCAGGTTGTTAAGGACGGAGGAAAGCACGAAGGTCAGGACACCAATGATGATCTCGGGCAAAGTTCGGTGCAACAACTGATGACGGGCTCAAAGGATCTCTTTTCAGAGTGTCTTGGGTCAGTGCCAACAACTCCTTCTGGCTCTTGGCTTGAATGGCTTTTGTGATAATGTCAAAGCCTGAACCAAAGACAAAAGCCATTTGGTTCATTTGCTCTGCGCACATGTCTTGGTTGGCCTTAGGCGTCTACCAGGTGATTCACAAGGTGTTTCATCATTCTTCCTACTCGGCCGCTCCTTTGTGCGCATCCATGATCTCAACAATGGTCAATGCACCCAGAAGGAAGAAAACCACCTCCGGCACTGCTACGGAGAAAACTCTTCAAAGTCATTCAGGTAAAATACTCCGGATATCAGTTCAGCCTCGGAGACATCTTCCAAGGTCTCCCTCAAACATGTGTGACCGCAAGCACAGCATGCTTGCAGGCCTTGATGCTAGAATCTAGAACCTGGGGACCTCGCTTGATGGCCGTGTCAAAATTCGCGGCAGACATATCAACGCCGGTTCCCACCAAAGCCCACACCTACAAGGAAATGGTTCGCTACCAAGCGAGCTGGAGCACTTGCCGCTCAAACTAAGCGCGCAACAAGTACGCCCAACACAAGGGCAGTAGCGGCCTTCCAGCTTCCAGCACCCCAAAACACTGCACTCAAAATGATGTTGATGTGGAATCTCTCTGGTGCTGCTTCACTTTTTGCGAATCAATTCAAGCAAATGATGAAATCAATATATTCTGCTTCTGGTCAGCATCGGATGGTGTTCCCAGGTTGAGGAAAAGCCTGACAGCAAGTTTTGCACATAAGACTGATGCGTGGACTTTTCTATTCTAATATACACATTTCGACACTTTTCGACCATGGTATGATGTGCTCTGTGTGCGTGTGTGCCACACTTGTACAATCCTGCCTCAATGCCTGTGGACCATGTCTTCGAAGTGACACCTTCAGGACAATATACACATGTCACACCTTAGTTGCAAGAAATGGCATGCTAAGAACTCTGCGAACAAATGCAAACCATCAGTGCTTTGTTTGGAAAATAACACTTGTGAAAGACGAGCTGTGTTTGACCGCCTATTCCCCACAACCATGGTGGAGATGTCCTGAGTGTTGCACTTAAACTGGCCACTTGCTGGCAGTTGTATGGCTCATTGTCGAAGAAAATTATCTCATCAAAGCTGCAGCCAACCACTTGTTGAATTTCTCTCAAGTGGCCTTGTTTGCCGCCTTTGTGAATCTTGCAGATTGTGATCAGCTCATTCAATTTGGACTTGGAAGGTCCAAACTCAAACTTGCCCAGAAGCTCAAAAGCCCATGGGGGGCACGTCGCAGCAGGATGCAACAGCAACTGTCACACCTTTCCACTTCTTGTCAGTGGCCAGTTCAGTAAGTGCACTTTCTACTCCAGAGTGCAGGGATATGACGCAACCTCTTTTATCGCGCATCACCCCTTGCGTGTCGTAGGCAAAGGGGGCACCCCCACGGTCCCAGGACAATTCGTACATCTCTGGACTCCACAAACAGCCGTCGAGATCAAAAACGACACACCGAGGAAGTGGGCGTCTCGTATCTGGCGAGTTACGTCTCCGATTTCGAACTTGCGTGTGTGTTCCACATCTTTGACCACTGACTTTGAATGCCAGTGAGAATGCACTGGCTGCTGACAGAAGCAAACTCACAGAGGAGTTCAATCGGCTTCCAACCATTTCTTGATATCTTCTTTGCAAGGCCTGGGTGGCTTTGGGTCGTTCTAGATGCGGTTTGCAGTTGAACTTTTGCATAAGCATGCTCGAGCAGGCAGCCGCCATGATGCGCAATGGGATCAGGAGCTGGAAAAGCGCTGGTTTAAGAAACATAAACGAACCATGGTTCCCAAGGAAGGATGTCTTGCTGGAGACTATAGTTTCCTTAGTCTTCCATGATATTTTGATTAGAGCATCCGATGTGACTATGTCTACTCAGCAAAACAACAGGATCTCATTGTCTGTCACTGGGCAAGAAGGTGTGGCCATCAACCTTCTGCTAACAAGAGAAGGTCTTGAAGCTGCAGGGAGTCTCACAGTCGAAGGCAACAGAGGCTGAGCGCAATGAACCCGCGTCGCTCCATTGTCGGCCTTGTTGATCTCTGTTTGCTCCTGCACGTCACGAAAAAAATCAAACTGGAACAGTTTCTCCATGTAGTTCAGATCAGTTTTGTCTACTGTAATAGAATCCTCCAAGACGATGACACCATACCCGGCCTCAGCTCTTACAAGTTATGAGGTCTCATTTGACAACTGCGCCGGCGCACCAGTCGTTCAAACAAGTTACGATGAAGGTTGCGATGATGGGGAAGTACTCATACTGATTCCCAGTCAAGAATGGCACCTCACAGCATGGAAAACCGACCAAAACAAAGTGCTGAGTCAGCTGAGTCGAGAGCCTGAATCAAGGCATGCTGGATGCCATACATCACAGCGAGCCATCCAGCAAGGGCGGCCAGCACTGGCCTCGGAAAAATCTGCGGCACAACCAATGGTAAAAGAGCATGTCAAGGCTGTCGAGGGATCTGCAGCACGACACCGGTCACTTCGCCCCGGACATCCTGCTACAAATGAAGACATCACCAGCCAAGGCGGAACTACAAAGAAACCAAGCAGGATACTGCCACTGGCCTTTTGAATTGGTGCTGCATTCCACAAAAACACGTTCCACTGGAAATCGCGTGGGCTCGGGGAACACAAAAAACCCACAGCAGTACAACGTCAGCTTTGTGTTCTGTACTGCACATAGTATGGGGGGTTCCTAATTAACATTCGCTGTTTCTACATCAGCATCTTTAGGATCAGATCTCCTAGTCAAAAGCCAAAAGCAATCAAAAGCAATTATTCCAGGCGCTGCAAAACATAATGAAGGTAGTCCGTTGCAGCTTGCAGTGAAGGACATTAGTGGTATGTTGAATTTAAGTCACAACCTAGCCATGCGAGCAACGAAACAAAGGGACATGCACTGCTTACGGGGCCCTCACCAGCCCAACTCAAAGTTTCCATGTGTTAGACATGCAAACAAGCATTGAACGCATGGAGCATATTTCTGAATGCAAGTTTGCAAGTTTTGAAGATTCCCTACGTTTAACGACCGGATGTGTACAAGTCATATTGACCATGACAAACTGCCTGTCCTCAGGCGCTGCTGTTGAACGGCGCGACAACTTGTCAGCTCGGCCATTCAGGCTGAGTCCTTCAAAGTGGGGCACACTGAATGGACTTAGTCACATTGCACGGTTGTTGCTGTGCATTTGCTACTGTCGATGGAGGGGCATGTTCGTGAGGTTTCCCCAAATGGCCCCTCAACAAGTCAAGGTGCCAAATCCGCTTGCCTCTGGTTTCAGCTGGCTTGACAGGATCTTACTTGAAGAAGGGCTGCAGCAGCATGACAGGATAAACGCGACTTCCGCGTCTTGCAACCACCTTGTAAGGTCAAAGCCTTGCGACGCAACCTCTTCCGTGATCTCCCCAAGAGTGGATTCATGCTGAACCAGGTCCACACCCTCACCATCCGAGACCCCTATTTCTCCTTGACCTTTTTTCTTTTCCATTTGGCACTGGTCTGGTACTTTCACGGTCCTCTTCATCGGTCGCGACAGAACGGTCTTCAGCGCTAGACAATAAGCGGCGGGCAAACAAGAATTGCGGCGGGTCAAGGCAGCGCGCAACAGAGCGTTGCAAGAGTTGGAGCAGTACTGCGTCGGGCCTTGGCGACGGGGTCCTTCTTGAGTCAATGGTCGCAGCGTGGCAGGGGAAACGTCGACTTATATAGTACTGCCATGCCCTGTCATTCGTCACAGAAACGTGTGATCGGGAGACCCCATACGTCAAACGAATTGACGCGACTATCCGCAAAGAGTCCTATGGCGGCGAGGCTGTCGACAAAGTGCGCTCTTCGTTCCTGCATCACGCCATCACCGGCACCTCCAGTTTGAAGTTTGCAGACCATCGGTGGCTTCCAGCAGCTGGGTCTTTCCCGCAAAGGGTGTGTACGGCGCCTGAATCAAAGAAACTGAACGCTCCTGTTCACTGCAAGTCAACTTGACCACCTTGCGCTCGTCTTGATTTCGCCCAGCTGCTGTCATAGCTTGTTGATCTTGGCTTCGGAGGCTTCCCTTTTCTTTCTTTGACCACCCAGCAACTTCTCTACGCGTCTTCCTGCTTCCTTTCTCTCGCCTCAACATCCTTGGTCTGAAATTCACCCTTCTTCCCCTTTCCATCCTCTCGCTGCAAGGGCGAGATGGTCCATCTCGGCTTCACACTGGCCTCGATCAAGCGCCTTAACTCTTCAGCCATCATGTTTTCCGCATGCCAAGTGAGATCAGCCATGGCCATGGCAGTGAGATCAGCCGCGCGGCTGAACCAACAGTAGCAATAACACTTTCCTCCCATACCTCGCAGGATAACCAGCCAGGGTCAACAGGAGTGGATCTGGGCAGCGGGCTCCTCTGGGGTTGAAAAATTGCGAAGGTAGATGATGGCTCGTCCTTCAAGCCCTCGACATTCTCCTTCCTCTCAGCCTCTCTTTACCACAACTTCCCTTCTGGTTCTTGCATCTTCTTGCATCCTTGTCTCCTGAGGAGCATGCTGGCGCTCCAACTTTTAAGACCGGCACTGCTGCAAGATCTGCCACATCCCCATGATCTCCTCTGGTTGCGCAGCCTGACGGCGATCCTGCTGCTCGGGATCGTGCGCTTCTGGGCCACTTCTTTTCACCTCCTCAACAAAGCAGCCTTCGGGCCTTCACTCTTGTCCAGCCTGCTCTCTTTTCTTCTCATCTCTCAACATCCTTTCATTTCCTTCCTTCTTCATCTGCTCTTCATACCTCATCTCCTCCTCCTCCATGAAGCCCGGACGCTGCATCTTGAGTCCTTGCACCTGACGAAGGAGGTGGCACAAGGCTTCCGTAGACCTGCAGCGCTTGGCAGGCAGCGGCACGAGCTTCCGTCAGTTATTCCTGAGTGAACAGAGGTGGACCCAACGTGGTGAAGCGTGCCAAAACAAGAGGTCGACCCTTTGGGCTGTCCTGTTCCCGTGTCTGGTCTTCTGGCGGCGCTCCTGGTGGTCAGTGTGCTGGGAACGGTTCCCTCTCCACCCGTGTCGACCCCATCTTTCAAGAAGCGGAGTCTCCTTGTAGACCAGCACCAGCTCTTGGCTGATCAGCGGCAACGCTTCCGCCTCTTCAGCTTCATGCCTGCCCGGCGCAACATGGTTGGATCGGGGGCCTCCGAACAAGAAGCGCCCAACGTTGGGTTCATAACCTGTTGATGGCGGGCCAAGTTCGTGACCGCCTGGGCTTCCTAAGCTCGTCCGCTGACAAGTAACTTTTCCCTGACGTCAGCCTCTGGTTTCGTCGAGGCTTGACAACCATGTGGTCCCGTAAAAGAAGGGCTGCAGTGAAAATGGATGCAACCGCATGACAGGATGAAGTGTGCATCAGCAGTTACAGTACATCTAAAGAATACAAAGACATTGAAAATGCCATTGATCCCACCCCCATTTGAAGTCCTTTGTTGGCTGCGATGTACGCGAGAGGAACCCTGTCAAGTCCGCAGTCAACTTTTGCTCAACTTTTGCTCAATAACCCCCAATGTGGGTAACGGTGCTCAAAACATTTCAGTGACTTGCAGCCGAATGCTTTTCCATCTTTTTCTTGCCCATTGGCCCTTCCATCAATGTTTGCAGCATCTCAAGCTTCCAGGGGTGTCTCACAGCAAAGTTGTCGTCCTGGCGAGACAATGCCTTGGGCACAAGGAAAACAACCACAGCTTCAGCACCTGGAGCAAGCCATATGTCTCGCTCTCATTGGACCGCTTTTCACCATTGATGCTCCAATAAGCAAAGTCCAACTTATTCTCCTCCAAGCTGCAGTGCAGCTGCAATGTCTTGAGTTGATTCTCAGCAAAACACACCAACCAGATCTGCCTTCATGTATCTGATGATATTGTTGAAATAGTTGTCACGAACATCTGTTCCAAACCTTGAGAACTCAAACGAGGGAAGGTTTGCAGCATCCAGAATCGAAATCAGAATATGTTCCAGCACAGTAAGCAAAATATGTGGATAACCAAAGAAATGGACACCAATACAATCAAATACAAGTGTTTAGACATGACATAACCTATATGTATATGTATATAGAGAGAGAGGGAGATTTAAAAGAGTGTGATCCATACGCTATGCAGCTCGCTTCCATACTGTCTCTGTTTCTTTGCTTCGTTCTCTGCAGAGTGCAGCAAAGCGGCTCGCTGAGCCAGACCTTCACCAAAGTCAACTCACATTGAAACAAAGGAAAAGACAAAGGCAAAAACGAATATAGAAAGGTAAAACAATAAGGAACCATGAGGAAAAAGGGGCTGAGGATGTGGCTGGGGCAGGCGTGACACCGTCACCACTGAGCAAAGGACCTTGAAGTAGCTGACAAAAGAAGTCTTGTGAAGAACGAAATGCCAAAAAACAATAGACACAAAACTTAAAGGTTCAAGGAAGAGAGTCCGCACCTAGGCACGCATCCAATTCGCCTATCAAAGATCCAGGTGGTTTGTTTGTGTGCACCTGCGCTATGTGCGCTTGCCTTCGAAAATTCTATTGCTGGGCAGCCTCGAAAGTTCCCATAGGAGCCACACTTGCCACCAACCAGGACCATCAAAAGCAATAGAGACAAAGCACCCACCGCGCAACTCCGCTTCCTGCACACCATCTAGTGTCTTTAAATGGATCACAATGTTTCCTTTTCTCAAGCTGCCCCACCTCTCACGTAATGGCTCCACCAAGATCTCTGAGGCGCAAAATGCCAAGAGAGACCTCTGCAAATCCGGTTCACGTGCGTTGTTTTGCTAAGAGAAAACGGTGTTAAAAAATGTTTTTTGCCGTTGATACCGCGCGTGTGGTGAAAAATAAAGGCGACCCTCCCGGGAAAAAGAATCGATGTTTCCCGTTTTCATCGTGCGAGCACAGAGCACTGGCAGTACCCCTGAGTTTTTTCAAAGCACCTGGCACGTTACTGTAATTATAAACCTCGACTGTTGAAGGTAGGGACCGAACCGTTTGCAGCTCCAGGGTGCCTCAGGCACGCGGTGAGCACGGTGGCCTTCATTGACACGCCTTGAAGCATTTTGAGGGTTCCCTCTTGGATGCATGCAGCTCTCCGCATATCATGGTCCTGACGGAAGGTTATTAGCTGCAACTGCACAAACCCACAGCCTACGTTCCAACAGCTGAGTCTCTTGCATCTAAAGCTTCCAATGGACGGCTGTATCTCCAGCGGGAGTCCTCAACGAGAGTGAAATAGCAGCACCTTACACAAATATGTACAAATCTGAATTACGCTCACCAAAGAATTGTTTCCACTCGGCAAACTAGAGCTTTGGATCTGATTCTGAAGTCTTGCTTTACTTGATCTAGCAGGACATGTTCAGACTTCTCT